TGCAAGGGATCATTTTGCAATTGCTACTGCCCTATGGGCCATTAATCGGCCGACAAAGTAAGATCACTGGGAACATGTGCATAAAGGCAAAATAACTTATCATTGAAATCAATTTTATTCCTTGCTTAGAGTCTTCTATAATCAGTTCTTGTAATAAATCAACTGTTCCTCTATCCTAGCTCTCAGTCCCATTACCTAAAAAAACATAAAAGAACGTGGGGGCATAGACGAAATCATTCGATGAAGGTTGAGTATGATTATTACGAGGTTGATGTCGTCTTGTTTGTAGTTTTAACTGTGAGCTGTGACTTGTGGCAAGCATGCTGTGAATATATGGATCATATTCATATACATTGCAAGCGATCAACTAAAAAGAAAATCAGCAAAAAAAATATCTTGTATATATTCAACATTAATTAATAAAAACTTTGAAGAATTTACTTAAAATCTTGCTCGATTGTTTGATTTTATAGCTGTAAATCTTGAAGTAAACACCGAAATAAATTAAATTTCTCTAAATAAACTGGAGAAAACTACATGTATCGAGCTGTGTATGTTGTTTCCATGAGTTTTCAGGTAAAAATATTGATTAAAAATAGGTTATTTGGCTCAAAAAATTAAAGTAGAGTTTATGCTCAGTTTTCAATCATCTGGGCTACCAGAAACTACACAAGTAAATGATGAGTCGTCTGCAACAATGAATAATATAATATGTTGTCTATGTAATTGTTTTTTTATTAAAAAAAAAACCCTTAGAAAAAATAAAAAGAGGCAAGGCCAGGCTTGCTACCAGGGGGCCCTGATGCTTTTATGTATTTTTGTTTTCAAAACTCAAAAACAAATAATTATCATGTTGATTTACTTATTGTTTCACTTTTACATGGTTCTTAAATAACACTATAAATTTTAATTTTAATATTTTATTTTTCAATTATTACGTATATAATATGAAATTTCAAGAGTAATATATACATTTTAAAATGGAATCACTATTTATGTTAAAATATACTTATCGTGATCGAATAGGATGGCACTAACATCTTATCTAGTCCCATTCAACAGGCTGCAGACAACAAATTCTGATTCAGCAGAACAATTAAACATATCAAATTAATTAGTGCAAGCAATGCACGATATGAGGAAATCTAGAATCTCCATTGTTGAAGGCCAACTAGTTTTATGCCCAGCTAAAGAAAAAGGTAGGATATCATTATCTTTCTTGCAAAACGATTAAACAGAGACCGCACTAAAAAGGTGCTCAAATCACTTCTTAAAATACGGTGCAGTGTGTTTAATTATTTTGAGTTGAAAAAAAATATATCTCAAGCTATTCAAACGTTTCAGCTGTCGTCTTATGCTGTCATCAGAAGGGCAGTGGCTACAGGGACGCACTCTTCAAGATCAAAGAACAAGATTATATTATATAATACGTACTGCAGTCAACAAAATTCTGACTGTTGCTGAATATGTGCTTCAGGGTGATTCACCCATTAGTTTTGATGAGCGCCCAGGTAGCAGAAACATGCTAGATTTGGTTTTGCCGTAACTTTCATTGTTGTTGTTTTAAAATATAGGTTTTAAAAAAATAATTTTATTTGTGGTTTTAAAAAGGTATTTAAAAAAATATATTTTTTAATTAAAATTGCTATAACATGAAGTTTTACATAAAAAATAAATAAATAACAAGTTTTCGTGATTAAAATACATATTATTTTAGGTTCTATAAAACAAAAATTTAACATGGAATTATATGTGAGACTTGATGCAAAAGATATAAACTATCTGATCAACAAAATAATTTTTTCTTTATGGTTGTGCCAAAGCGAAAGTTGCCTTAATATCAAATAAAACTATGAAATTGTAATTTAGCGACATGTACCGTAATAGTGAATCGGGATTGATATGCTTTATAGTATTGATTGATCAATAATACTCGTGTCCTGTATAATATTTGAAGGGTAGATTAACATATATTTTAACCCAAGAAAATCATTATTAATATTTATTTAAACATTATTTTATTTCGAACAAAACCCATAATTTTTTCTCTGTTAACTAACACGTTACATAGTTTACTTTAGCTAGCTGGGTCGCGTGCTTTGGACCCAGATTGTTCCAGCCAGAGTTGAAAAGCAGTAGCTTGGATGAGTGAACCCATCCTAGATTCCTAGAACAACAGTTGGACTGTTTAGGGTGGTCAAAAAGGACTCAGCCAATTCATAGACAGGCTTTGCTGCTCCCAGAAACTATCATTCGGCATCCAGATCCCCGAGTAGTCTCATGTCCACTATCAGAAAGTAAGGAAAATAAAGCTCCAGGGGACAACGCGACAACCGGATTCTTCAATTTCCTGATAGATAGAAGTCCTTTTTAAATACGTTTTTCTTTATAACAAAAAATCCCAGCAAGAAATCATGTGTTGAAATAGACTAAAACCCGCAGCATAAATTATTTTTCAATTAACAAAACAGAGTTCAATGGTATGAATTGCTTATAAAAGTTGAAATATATACGAACACACCTAACTTTTATCAACCATTCATGTAAATAACAAGCAGTACCATGTCAAGCAAAGAAGAGTTCAAGACGTCTAAAAAAATTCAGTAAAAAAGGAAGAAAGGGGTCTTTTTTCTTTATGAAGTCGTTCAAGACAAATAATTGACGAGGAATTGATGAGAGGGTACCATAGAAATGACGATCTGCTCGTTGTGCTGTGAAGGCAGATCTTATGAAGGCATATGACTCGGTTAGATGGGATTTCATTTATGCTATGCTGATCAGAATGAGTTTCCCTGAACAAGTAATTGGATGGATCATGGTTTGTATTACCACATTTCAATATTCTATAGATGTTAACGGTGAACTTGCAGGTTATTTTCAAGGGAGAAGGGGGCTGAGACAAGGTTGAGTTCAAGTTTCACTGGAGGTGCCAAAAGAATAGGATTTCCCACCTCTGTTTTGCCGATGACTAGATGATCTTCAGCAAAGGGGAAGTCAATTCTGTTTGTGTGATTCATAATGTGCTTGTGGAATTTCAATCCCTTTCTGGACTTTCCTCGAACCCGGACAAGAGTGACATTCACCTAAGTCGAATACCAGATGGCATTACAGAGCAGATTGTTCAGATAAGAGGGTCCCTCTTATCTCCCTCTTATCTCCTCAATACTCGAGGCTGTTCATTGTAAAACCCTTGTTGATCAAGTCACCGCTACAATTCAGCACTAGACATATAGATCACTTTCATATGCTGGACGAGTGCAACTAATAAACTCAATTTTGTTCTCCATTCAGGTTTATTGGGCCTCTCTATTCCTTTTACCTGGAAAAGTGGTTAAAAGAACAGAGCAAGTTTTAAGATCCTTTATGTGGTTTGGTGCGGTCCGTACGGATATGATAACTAGCGGGGCTAAACTGGCATGAGAGCATGTATGTTTTCCAAAAAACGAGGGGAGTTTAGGGATAAAGAGGATAACAAAATGGAACAAGATTGCATTATTGAAGCACATCTGGCATCAATGCACCAGCTCGAAACACTCCATTTGGCTTACTTGGATTAGAGCCAACTTATTGGAAGGAAAGAACTTCTGGCAACTCAAAGTGCCGAGGAAATGCTAATGGGCATGGAGAAAGATCCTTAGCCTAGCACGCTATGAAGTATATGATAGGAGATGGGAGGGAGACCTCTTTATGGTTTGACAATTGGCACCACCCTCACAGCCCTCTAGCTGACTCTAATGGAAGTTCATCAATGACTCGGGTATGAGAAAAGCTGACTCTAGATGCAATCCCAAGCAATGTGAGGCCAAATGAAGGTAAACGGAATGAGATTGTCTAGATGGACTCAGTATTTCTCAATCAAAGTGGCATGGGGGCAACTCGGAACCAAAAAAACTAGAGTTAGAGTGGCATGGTATTGTTTGTTTTAAGAATGTCATTCCAAGGAAATCATTTATCCTTGGTTAGCAATTCAACAAAGACTTACTCCTTAAGATAAAATGCAACGATTTGGGAATTTCGGTCCAAATGGTTGCTCCCTATGTTTCGGGAACAACGAAGACCATAATCACCTATTCCTTGATTGCTCTTACTACGAGGAGATATGGTGAGATGCAATGTTCCTAGGATGAAAAAAATATGAGATGAGTGGACTACATGGGTTAGTGTCACATGGAAGGTAAAACTTTTAGTAAAGTTGCTTTAGACTAAGCTTTGCAGCCTCAGTTTACTGCATATGGCAGAAAAGGAATGCAAGGATCTTTGCTGGTAAATCAAAACGCCCACAACTTGTTTTTAATCAAGTCGAAGGTTTCATTCGGGAGAAACTTGATTTGTTAAGGAATGTCCCCATAACACAACAAAGGATAGCGATTCATCAATTTTGGAAGCTGAGCAATGAAGTTTTCTGGGTGGATAGTTAGTTTGTGTATCTAACTATGCAATGTGATCAATAGTTTAGTTTTGATGCGTTTCTTTGTTTTTGTGGTCTTTAGGGCTATTTGTTATTTTGTGTTTGAAGCAACTTGTAAAACTAGGGCATGCCCCTGCCCTTGTCTCTTTTAATTTTTATATACAAATGTCAAATTACAAAAAAAAAAAAAAGTCATTCAAAACAAGCAAACAAAAACAAAAACAAAATCATTTTTCAATTTAAGATGATGATTGTTCTTTAAAATTCTCGAGCATTTTTTTTTAACGTTTAGCAATCAGCAACACCACTGAAGACTTTAAAATCCCAGTGGAAGTCTCGTTGACAGGCATAAAAGACATCATTCTCATGCGAGCAAGGACAAAAGGGAAAAAAGCATCAACTTCCATTCCATTTTCTTCGGATTCTAAACAAACAAAATGCAAGGGAGAGAACATGGAAACTATTAAGAAACCTGACAAGGACAGTTTCATAGCTCCATGAGGCATTTCATCGAACAAATGGGAGGGGCAGCAAATATACGTGGATGCCACCTCTCTACAACGTTTTAACCAGACAAGTGGAAACGGGAAAGGAAGGAATTCAGTACGAGTTTGATGATACTCACGGAAATTATCATCTTGCTGTCCCTGATGGTTGGCAAAGGGAGAGCAGGACGTCTCTAAAAGCGCGAAGATTAGAAATCAAGGAATTTGTGATAATTTTATTTCCCACAACCTGATTTGAGATTTGAACTAATCCTCATGACTAAAAAGGGAGTATACCTTTAACCATCCGGCAACGCCCTCAAATCATATTATTGTTAATATTCTTAAATCCATTGTTACTCCTGAAAGGAATCAGGCCGGTAATGACCACTAGCTCATTCTGTTTACTTAATCACAATAAAAGTGGGCATTTAACTCAATTAACCAGATCAAATGATCCACAATCTTGGCCATGATTTTGTTCCTTCTAGCTAGCTCGCTTCGGCTTGTGTTCTGGCTGATGAGTGTATTCGAAATCGATATGAACGAAAGCTCGTTCGACTTCAGAAAGTTGTTCAAGCTTCTCTTGAAGTGTCTCTCCAATGTTATGCGCGTGACCGAGGGACATGTCCTCTGGCAGGACAATATCAGCTTCCACGAAGTAATGACTACCAAATGTGTATGCCCTAACGGTATCGATTTGCTTAATCTCTTCATGATGATTCCAGATTAGATACGTCAGTTTTGCTAAATATTCTGGTGGGGCTGTCCTTCCGATCAACGACCAAACGTTCTCCATCACTGTACCTGCCCAATTGCTTATTGTGTATAGAGCTATCTGCATTATAATTAATTATGGTTAAATCAGTAAGCTACTAGCTGGATAACATTGATTAACTCGGTGTCAACGCCAATGACTCACAAGTACAGCTCCGATAGGATCGAGCCACCAGAAGAATCTGATAGCCAATACAGCTGAGGCTAGACCAGTACAATTAGTAATGACATCGAATAAATGATCTTGAGCATATGCCCTGACAATTTCATTTTTGAATCTGCGACAGTATACCATGAGTACAAATTTTACTATTGTAGCTGAAACCATGATACCAACCATCCATTTTAGTTTGGTAGGATCCCTGTCTGGTTGAGCCTGCGTAAAGTAGATACCAAGTTTAGCATATGCATATGACCGATATGGCTAGTGCCTAAATAACTCGTTGATCTTATATGCCGTCTGTTGAACCACGAAATAATCAGCACTCGTGTTGCATACCTTTGTAATAAGTTCTCTTCCTGATTCAAACAATATTTGTAGCCCAAGAGTTGCCATTACTGATGCAAAAACTACTATCCCCTGTAAATAGTTTGATTAGTTGATGGTCAAATCAATGCTTTTCATGGGCTTACATAAAGACCTGACGAAAATCTCTCCAACTTTATTTTTCTCCTCGGAAGAAAAGGTTTGATTTCATTTGGCAAGTTAAGGTGTGAAACATGAGTTTTAGTTTCAAAATTGATGGGAAAGAAAGAGAGAGAAAACCCACCACAGGTTGCATCCTCTGCTTGCCAATGGGATACTGGTACTGATTCTGTTTCTTCATAGCATGATCAGTAAACCATAGAATGAAACCTGACAAGAGATCCAAAAGAGAGTCCAAGGTTGATGCTATGACAGCCATTGATCTACTCTGAACCGAAGCATAAACTTTTGCCACGAAAAGCACCAAGTTTGCCACATTGGATGCATATATTGCTATCTTCTCCCTCTTTGCTAGCTGCTTCATTTCATTCTGTATCACCATCATAGGAAGCGTATTGAATTTTGATTAAGATATTTGTTAATTTGAAGCTTTCCATTTAGATGGTACGTTTAGGCACCAAGAAAGTGTCTACGTGGCACTTCACATGCTGTTTTCTGGCAGGTGTGAACGACATTGAACAGTTAGGTTAAGCTAGGCAACAAACCTCAGTCAAGCCCTCGGGGGAAATACCCAACTCGGTGAATGTGTCCACTTCATTGAACCCCTCGAGAAGCTCTTCCTGCTTCCTGTAGTATTCTGCAATTTTCCTCTGTCTCCCTGGATGGAGAATAAAAGATTAAATTAAAGCTAGAGATAATCAAACTTGTCAAATATTAATCATAAAACAAATATCCAAGAACTGTTTCTTTTTCATAGAACCAAAACAATTAATAGCATGACCAAAAGGGAAACGTTACTGATTGTCTTAAAAAAACTTCCTAAGCCAACATCGGAATCTGCACGCCTCTCCGGCAGCTGAAATTTATCCATATTAAGACGCCATGATGGCACGCTTGTGACCGAAGCATTCTCGCCAGGTGGGGGAGGTGATAAAAGCTCGGTTCTATAGTCGAACGAATCGATTCGGGGACTAGTAACCATTTTTTGTCGGCAGAAGAGTTTTTGCTTGCAGAGAAGGTAGGATTGTCACTCCTTAAATAGATAGAAACACAAGAAATGAAAGCTGATAAGATGGTGCCTTTTATAAACATTAAAACATACCAAGCCATCTTAGTTTAAAGGATAAAATACTATGAATCATTATATTTAACGAAGTATAAGCCATGGTTAATATTACTAGTTTAGCGTCAACAACTTTTCAGAAATTAAAGAAGTTAGTTAAAGTTAATACCGTCACCATTCATGCCTTGTTAGTCTGACTTGAGTTTATTTAATTTAAGGTTTTGCTGGTCTAGTATGAAAGGAATCCTAGCTGGAATATCTTCATTTCATTCGCAGCTCACGGTTTAATTACCACCAATCACAAAAGTATGAGAAGACAAACACAAGATCAAGATTAACACACATAGAACAACTAACCCACTAGCAAAGCTCTGTTATAATAATCAAAACAACTAATCCACTAGCAAAAGGAAGTGATATTTCATAAACTATATGCTTGTTTAAACAGAGAGTCACAGTTGCATAATAGATGAAGAGTTGCCACTAGCATCATGCTCGATGACCGATCTTGGGCATGCTACTATTGAAAGGGATATGGTGCCTCCCCGAAAGCATGCTCAAGATCAGTCATCAAGCATTATGCTTCGTTCCTTTTTTCTTGAAGGGGATGGTAGTTCAGAGGATCACACGTTACTAAACACTATTAAGCTTATTAATGAATTGAAAGCTTAATATAAACAAATACAAGTTGCCAAAATCCCAACTTAAATGACAAAACAAATATCCCAGTAAACAAAAGAACTGCTTTCTTCCATCCCTAACACCCCTTATAAGCCCCCCCCCCCCCCCCC